GATTGTTTTTTTGTTGTTGAGTTGTAGAAGTTCTTTATATATCTGGATATTAACCCTTTATTACTGATAAACTGAGTAATATACTGTAATGAGACTTCTTTTCTCATATAGCATTCTGTTTTTCCTGAAGTTACTTTTTGTTTGTTTGGTTTTTGCTCAGGTTCCTATGTACCCAAATCATTCTTCTTTTGTTCTCCAATAGAACTATATTGTCGTCTCTAGGCACCAGGTAACCTATCACTTCTCTTCTTCCACCTCTTCCTTTCTTCTTTTCTTTTCTTCTTCTCCTCCCTCCCCTTCTTCCTCCTCCTCCTCCTCCGTCTTTAAGTCCATATAGGTTTTAAATATTTCTTTTTCCTACTGTGGGTGGTTTTCATTCTTTGACCTGGGTACTCAGTGAATCCTTTCAATTTAGGTACTCAGGCCCTTCAGAACTGAGAATTTCATTAGATTAAAACAAAACAAAACAAATCAAAAACAACTTTTCCTTCTCTCCATTTCTTCTAATCTCTATAGCATTCCTGTTAGTAAGGTATTAGACTTTCTGCATTGGTCTACTGTTTTTCTTATACTTTTCTTCTATTTTCTCTACCTCTTTTTCTATACTTTCTGGGAGATTTCTAGACTTACTCTCCCAAATGTTTTATTGGATTTTCAAGTTAAGGTAGCCATATTTTAAATTTCTAAGAGTTATTTCTTAGTTTTTCTTCTCTATGCTCCTTTCTCATATTGTTCTGTTCTCATTCCCATAGATCCCTCTAATGTCTCTGAAGATATTAATAATAGTTTTTATTTTCCTCTTCTTCTAACAGAAAGATGTTTAATTATCTTTCCAATTTCTTCTATGATAATGGACCATTCAGATTTCCACCTTTTCTCGGGTCACTCTTTGTCATTTGCATTCTACCTACAAATTGTACATTTCATCTAAATCTTCAAGTATGCTGTCACATAATTCATAATTCTATGAAGAAAACGTTTTTAAAAATCTCTTCTATATCCATGATTATCTCCTTCCTATTCTTTTCCATTTTTACTTTCTTTTTTCTTGGTCAGTTTTCAACTTTATTGATTTCAATCCTTACTGTTCTCTTCATTTTCTCTTCATAGTCCCCCTTTTTTTTTCTAATTTGGTAAGATAAGTACTTCACTCCTTGTGCACTTAATCAAAAGACGTCTTGTAGGGTGGGGGAGGTGCTGAGAGGGCTAAGGACAGATTAAGTAGAAGCTGGTGGGTAGTTTGGCAGCTGTGGGAAGAGATGCCCACGGATGCTTACTGAGATGAGAGAAAAGAAGGGAAAAGAAGACTTTGAGACTTTGATATCTACATTGGGTTGAGGTCCTTTAGGAACTTCTGGTAGAGGGAAGCCTACAATGAGGGCAATCTGGGAGTCAGAAACAAGTAATGGCAATTTAAAATTGAATACAGAGAACATTCCACTCTCATACACAACTAGTGTTATTACCATTCTTTAATAATTTAAGAATAATACTGAGAATCATTTTCTTAGAAAATGTCCAAATATTTTCCCCAAAGTATTTTCAAGCTTAAGAAGAGACCTCGAAATTATTTAGACTCTGAATCCCATTCTGTGTTTTTATTATTCATAGTATCCTTATGATCTTAAGATGTTTTTTGTTTTTGGTTTTGTTTTACAGGGGTGGGGTATGTTTTTAAATGAAAAATTCTAATATTTCCTCAAATATCGGTCTTGTTTTGTTCCTCAGAAACTTAGAGAAAATGGAGCTTTCAGGTTAGAATCTGATTTTCCCCCAACATCCGATTAGAAAAACTTCCAAACACACAGAAAATTTGAAAGAAATGTACAGTGAATACCCATAAACCCTTAGCCTAGATTCTACAGTCAGGATTTAATTTTTATTAGCTGGAATTAGTATTTGCCTGCCTCTGAGTGATGTTGAGTAGGGTGATAGCTCTACCATAATTACATAGGAAGTGTTCTGTTCCTACTGGTAAGTCCAGTGCTTCATAAGACTTCTGTACTATGGCCAACTTCACGAGTGCTTTAAACAAGCCAACACAGGTCAGTTGTTAACTGGGTGGAGGAGCTTAGAGTTTTTCCCAGCTTAAAGAAACAAAATTTCAAACTCAGAAAGTTCTTCAGCTTGCTGCCCAAATACACCTACAGCTTTTGGCTCTTATAAAAAGGTGTTGTCCATAGGCATAAACCTAGGACTTCCCGGTTGTGCAACAAGGGAGAAACTGCCAATGCTCTGAGCTAGAAGGTGACAGGAACAGTAAAGGAGAGGAAGGGGTAACTGGGATTCATATCCTCCCAAATCAATTTTCCTAAAAGTTATATTTTACGATTAGTGGCAATTGTCCCCGTGGATGGGACAGTGCTCTTTTCCCACGTGTTCTCTCCTACAAATTCATACAAACTTCTCCCTGATTTTCAGAATCACTAAAGCTTAAAAAAGAAAAGGGAACACACGTCTTTGAAATCTAAGGAAGACAGTGGCAATCATCTAAGCTGGTTCCAACTACTGTACATGATTTCACAAGATATGTATTTCAACTCATAATAATTGCTTCGTTTTGGCAAAGTATCATATATCCTTGGCTTTTTTCTTTTCCTGGAAGGTCTTCAGTTAAGAACAGCCTCCAAAGCAAAGCAATGTGTGCTCATCACTGAGCTTCCTATCACAGGGGGAAAAAAAAGCATTGTGGCTGACTGAAACCTAAGACAATACGCATATCATCTTTATCTTGTAAGAGCTGAAAGAAATTTCTAAATGCTAAAGCCTTCTGAGACAGCCCTGAATGTACAGTTTGGAATAGGAGAGGAATACTTGGGCAAATATAAAAATAACACTTTTAGAATGGGGACAGCATTTTTAAATTATAAAAGTACTTTTTGCCTTTCTAAGTGCATGGTCTTAACTCTAGATCAAGAAATCAGCAAACATTTTCTGTAGGGGGCCAAACCATAGATAGGTTAGTCTTTGTGGGCCATACAGTCTATCTTACAAGTATTCAACTCTGGCACGGTAGTACAAAAGCAGCCATAGACAATACATGAACAAATAAAGAAGGCGTTATTCCAATTACACTTTATTTATGGGCACCTACATAAAGATTACATTAGTTATTCACAAAACAAAGACTTCATATTTACGCAGGACGACCAAGCTATAGCATGAGCTAAACATTTACAGGCCCACAACACTGTTTACAACAAAAGTTCCCTCAAACATAGCCTAACTCTTAATATTTAGATACCATTTATTCAAGTTGTGAAACCATGGGATTAGAAAGTCATATTGAGCCTATATCGTCATATAGGCTACGTATTGTCACAGTAATTTGAGATGAAACATGTGAAGCAAATGCTAAGAACCTATAGATAGGCTTTAGAGTTAGTCAGATGTAAATTCAAATTCAGGTTCGGCACGATATTGGGTAAACAGAACATTTCTACATGTTTCTTCATTTGTAAAAGAGGCAAATGGTTTGTTTGGACAATTAAAAGATATAATACCTATCAAACTCCTAACACAGTGTTCAGTAAGGCACACAGTACATGCTCAAGAGATGCTACTTTGTTTTCATTGTTGGGTGAAGTCACTGCTAAGTAATTTTCACTTTTATCTGTATAGAAAGACCATCCATGTCATTGGGGCTCAGTAGTCCATTTCACTGATTATAAATCATTTTGTAGTTGGGAAAATCACCCTAATGTAATGTCATTAGTTTAATTTGGAAGCCCTGTGATTAAGCTGATATAATAATAGATGAATTATACAGTGGGATCCTCCAGTATCAGTTGGCCTTCAGTGTATGTTTTTATATTTGACTTGCCACTGTGACTTACCTTTGCCTCTCTGTGAGTTAATGGTATTTGTATTGTCTGTATATGTATACTTTAAAAATTAATATTTATTAAAGCATTAAAAAAAGAAAAGGCATTCAGATGACTTACGGAGGGTTCCAAACCTCATTAGACAGTGTTCAAGCAAATACAATTTTAAAGTTCTCCTTAAAAGTTTTTCTTTTTTTTAAAGAGGTAATACATGGTACATAGGACAAAATGTAAAAAGTACAAAAGACAACATGGTTTTCTGAAAAGGAAGTTTTCTTCATCTCCCCACTACAGACTCCAGTCCCACAGTTGCCCTAAGCAACCGCTCAGACGCAAACACACACATACACACCAGTACGTGTGTCTGTCTACGGACACACGCTACTCACACTGTTCTGCCCCTTGCTTGATTACTTAGGGTATACCCGAAAATTCCCGTAAGTCTGCATATAAAGTTGCCTTGCATTTTTTTTAAGGGCAGCTTAATATTTCATCAGAGGGCTAACGCCCCGCATGATTTAACCAGCCCCCGGGGACGGACTTCCAGGTTTTTTTCTAATTGTTTGCTCTAATAAGGAAAACTGCACTGCTGCTTGTAACTTAATCTTTGCACCGCGATTTTGTTTTCTTCCGGCACGACTGAAAAGTGATTCTGGGGTGCGGGGAGCCTTCCCGCGCCCCCCCGGCCCCAGGCCGTGGCAAGTGCTCCCGGAGCCGCGGGTTCGTCCTCCAGCATGGTCGGGAAGCCTCGCGTCCGTCGGGCTGCGCGCCCCGGGCGGGAGCCGGCCGTGTCACCCACTGAGTGTCGGGGTGTGTGCGCCCGAGCGGCGGCCAGCGCGCCCGTCGCACGCCGATTTCTGGGGCGGGCAGGCACGGGCGGCGGCGAGTCGGGCGGCAAGTGGCGGCTTGCTCCGCTCGCGCCGCGTGTGGAGCCGCGGCGGCGTCGCCATCTGTGGTATGCGGGCCTGGCGCGCAGCTCCCGAGGAGACTCTGCCGGCTACCGTCCGCCGGCCTCGCGGGAACGCGGGGAGGTGTTCAAAGGTGTCTCTGAGAAACAGGCGCAGGCCGGGCAGCCCCGCTCCAGAACAATGGGTCCTTTCAGCCGCCCCCTTCAGATGGAGGGCTCGTCACCATGACAACCACCCCGTTATTGGAAGTCGGAGCCGGTCCTCGCCTCAGACGCTCTCCTCGCCGGCTCCCCTCCCCCGCCGGCCCCGCCGTATGGTGTGTGTGGCACTGGCAGCTGTTGTCAAAAGAAGGCACCTCTTTGTCTCCAGGGGATGAAAGACATTTGGTTTTCATCGCCACCCTTTCTCTCCGCCCGACAACTTTTCTCCGCGCGCTGCACCCCGTCCCCAGAAGGCGCCCCTGGATGCGAGAGCCGGGCCCCGAGTCGCCACCCCCGTTAGCTTTGGTGTCTGTTTCCTCCCGGACTCCGTCCTCCCGGAGCACTTCTGCCTCTACCTCCAACTCTTTGAGTTACTAGAAGTCTGCCTCTCAAGTGGAGGGTTCAAAGTAGGGGAATTCACTTTAAGAAATCCCGGGTTTCTTCTCTTGCAGCGCTGCTCGCGGAGTTCGCCGGCCGGCCGCTTCTCCCCTCAGACCCACTAGCACCACCTTCTGTAGCGAGGAGCTCATTGCCGAGTCTGTCCCCGTTGTTAGCGCAGGACCTCCGCCGCGCGAGCTCCCAAATTCGGCCTGTTCGCCAGAGTAAAGACTAGTCGCTTCACGAGACGAAGGCCTCGGTTTTAGGGATGTCGGGCTCAGGCAGCTAGACGACCTTCTGGCTGAAGGCAAGGCGACACGATGATGGAAACAACAGCCTGTGTTTTTCTTCAAGCTTCGGAATGAAATGTAGGATTAAAATATGTCTTAAGGTTTCGCACTACCTTTCATGCATAGCTAAATGCGATTTACTTTTTTTTCCCCCTGTGGAGGAGCTTTATAAAAATTAAAAAATGAGAAAAAAAGTCTGGCTGGCCATGTGTCTGGGATTTGGAGTTCAAGGAGTAGTGCCCCTGAACCTGTAATCTGCACCACGGATACTTGGAACAGATGGTGTTTTCCAGACCTATCTGGAACTTGAAAGGGTCACATTCGTGAGCGAAAAAGCAGGATCAAGAAGGTGGAGGGAAACAGTGGAGAGAAAAATGCAGAAGCTTGTAGTCACCAGTGTGGGGAATCTCTAGAGTAAAACCAGGTTTGTTGGGCTATTTTGGAGATAAAGATAAGCTTAGGATTCTGTGTGGATCAGAAAAATAATCAGTATTCATAAAATCTTATCCTCCAAGGGGTAAACACTAGAGGAGGAAATTTGAGGATACCTGCTTCAGAATTCATTGAGTCTACTGCTACTTTTTCGAATAAATTAAAGTTTTAAAAGGGTATTTTTAAAAACTTTGGGAATGTCAAAAGTGTATCAAGTGAAAGGGAAGGAAGTTCAGCAGGTGACTGACAAGAGATACATTTTTCTGGTCTTTGCTTTGAATTACCAACAATTACTTTTGGTAAACAGGAAGCAGCCAAGTCTGGCACACAGGAAACAAGTATTTGCTAAGTGAAGGTTTGTTTTTTTCCTCTGAGAATAATTTTTATCTAAATAACTACCTAGAAAATAATAAGTATGTTACTCTGAAAACTTCTCTTCACAATCCAGGCTTCTTTCTTTCCCAACATGACTGAATAAGTTTTGGAGGAAATTCTGTCAATTTTCCTGTGAGATTTGATATTTCCCCAGTGATTTCAAATGAGAGTCACATAGTGTCATGATTTGAAACCCTAGTTATGTAACTTAATGGGTTTTTTTTAAGTGTTGAAAATTGTTAAGAAATAAAAGCAATTTTCCCTTTCTGAAAAGAATACTCATGGCTATATCTGTAGGCTGACTTATACCAATAAATACATCATTTTATTATATTTTGTTACAGTTACACATGGAACTATATAGAAATACACTCTCTAGAACTCAGTGGCCACCATGGGGATTAAGACAAGGCCAAGTAGAACTCCAGGATTCTGATCCCCATGTCATTCTATTTTATCTGTTTTCTATGTAAGTTTTCATTTGTCTAAAATATTTCACTGCTAAAAAAGAAAGAAAAAAAGACCATTACTAGTAGAAATTTAGAGTTGGAAAAGATCTTTTTTTTTTAAGATTTTATTTATTTGCAAAAGAGAGAGAGAGAGAGAGAGAGAGAGAGCACAAGCAGAGGCAGAAACAGGCCTGATGCAGGGGTCGATCCCAGGACCCTGAGATCATGACCTGATCTAAAGGAAGACTCTTAACCGACTGAAGCCACCCAGGCGCCCTGAGTTGGAAAAGATATTGAAGATAATTTAGTTCAATTGTCTCATTTTACAGGTAACGTTTTGATCCAAGGAATTTATCTAGATAACCTGCCCAAGATCACATGGTCAGTTTGTGGCTATTTACGACCCTGTGACTAGCTGCCATCCTGCAGTCCTTTCAGATCAGAGCTGACCACATTGCCCCCTTCCCGGCCATTACTTAGCAGACCTTCTTGTTACTATGGACATGTTTTTGTCATTTCTTCTTATTTTAATCTATCTTGTGGAGATTACATAACAGTTATCTTGTGTAGCTTCCCTGTTTTCCAGTCAGCCTTCCCTAAGTCTTTCAATTCCAGAATTTATTTAAAATATCTAAACCATTCATCGACTGTAGCTGCTCTCTTCGCTCCCACTGGCTGTGGACAGCCTGTTAGTGGTCTACCCAATTTCCATTCTCCTGTCTTCCTTATTAACAGAGTCCCATCTGGGAGGTGGGTGTAGTCACCGTGACCAGTTAAAAGTATTCCCAGGACCTCTTTTAGCTCAATACTGAACAATAGAGCAAAAGCAGGATCTCATGAAAAAGCTTGTCAGAGGCAATTGACTCCCCATTGGCTCATATACATTTGCTTTTTGTCTTTCCTCCTTTTTGCCTGGAATCTAGCTTGATGCCTGGAGCCACGACAACAATGTTGTGAGCATGAAGGTGAAAGTCCCACCATATGAATGGAGGAACTGCAACCTAAGAGAAGCCTGATTCCTTGATATGAAGCTGACATTCCAGCACCTGAATGTGATCCCCACTGGCTCCAATTTAGGATAAGAACAAAGGAGACTAGGAATTCAGTGTTACTGAATGAACTTTTCTTTTTTGAACACTTACTGGTTGCTTCTACAGTAGTCTGTACATACACCATCACAGGACCTATAGCATAATAATTCATTCACTTGGTCATGTAATGAAACAATTTCCTCCTCCACTGCCTACTCCTAAGGGTAAAGAAAAGGAGCTAGCTATATGAAGACCAGGGAAAAAAACTTTCAAGCAGAGGGAACAACACATTCTAGGGCCTAGAAGTGGGGAGTGGGGAGGGTAGGTTGGAGGGAGGGGCAGGAGATTCAGTTGGAGAGATGGAAGGGGGTAGATAAAAGAGATGTGCCTTAGTCCATTCAAGCTGCTGCAACACAAGTACCATAGTCCGAGTGGCTTAAACGACAAACATTTATTTCTGACAGTTCTGGAGGTGGGGAAGTGCAAGATCAAGGCGCCAGCAGATTCCGTGTCTGGTGAGGACCTGCCTCATTGTTCATAGACAGCCTTCTTTTCTCTGCATCCCTACATGGTGGTAAGTCTGGGGTTCCTCCCTGGGGTCTCTTATAAGAGACCCATCCATGAGGACTTCACTCTCATGACCTAATCACATCCCACAGGCCCGACTTCCAAATACCATCCCATTGGGCATTAGGACTTAACATATGAATTTTGAGGGACACAACCAGTCTATAGCAAAGTGGTAAAAGCATTTGAATTTAATGCCATGGGAAGGCATTGGAGGGTCTAAGCTTCACATAACCATTAATAGTTTTTTTGAATTCACTCTTGCTGCTGTATATAAAATGAATTGAAAGAGGTGAGAGTAGAGCTGGAAGATCGGGGTGTAGGTGGTTTATAGTCTTTCAGGCAGGAGGTGATGGTGGCCTGAATTGGGGTTGTGACAGTAGAGTTGGAGAGAGGATGGATTCCTGATATACTTGGTGAGGGAATCAACAGGGTTTGTTTCTGGATTAGATGCAGGGATGAGGGTAATGGAGGACCTCAGGATGACTTGTGGGTATTGGTATGAGTAGTTGAATGGATAGTGATGTTGTTTACTAAGATGGGGAAAGCTGGAGATGGAGTAGGGCTGGAAGAAGGAACAGATTTGGGAAGAAAACTCAAGAGCTCTTTTTTGTCCTGTTTAACATGTCTGTAAGGCACCTGAGTGGAGATGTCAAGTGGGTGATTTGATATGTGGGTCTGGAGGTTTATGAAGAGGTTGAGGTTAGGGATACAAAATCAAAATTAAATAATTAAAAGAGCACTTACACTCATGAGGTCATCTAGACAGGGAGTGTAGAGAGAGAATGAAGGAGCATCTAGCAAGAAGCCACAGAATAATGCTATGCTATGCTATGCTGTGCTGTGCTGTGCTGTGCTGTGCTGTGCTATGCTATGCTATGCTAGAGCATCTAGGTATATTCACGGTTGGATATTCCTGGGTATAGCATCTAGGGAAGGAGCCATTTGGTTCAAGGATTACTTCCCTCAGGAGATCAGAACCAGGAGGCCAGCCTGAGGCTGCTGGAAGAGGGATGCTACTGTCTTCTTGTCAGGCAGGGTTTGGATTTCAGGAACTTGAGATGGCTTTGCTGGGGTTCCTGCATAAGAGGAGTTACAGAGAAGTTCTGCCACCTGGAAGCAGGTATACACCCCAGAATACCCTCAGCACATCACATCTTGTGAGCTACATTATTAGTTGCATGTGACTCTTTCTATTCATTTCCCTTTTATTATCCCCAAGTCTTTAAACAAGCTTTGTATAAGTGTCCACCCTGGTCTTTGCTCTGCTATGGGAAATTCAACAAAAACTAGTGTGTCTACACTGATGTTGAAGAGTTAAAGGAATACTAATCTCCCAAGTCCAGCATGGTGGGGGCAGCCAGTAGCAGGAGTCCCTAAGGGGAAGGTGAGTCTCTTGTTTGAGGGTTAGGGGTGTTGACTTTAGGCTCTCCTCTCCAGAAGACTCCTTCCATGACCAGCCTTAAAGGAGCTGTTTTTAATTTTTTAAAGGGACCTGGTCTTCTCTTTAGAGTTTTTTCCTACATTGGATTATAAGCTCCTTGAAAACATACTTTAATGGTCTCTGTACCCTTAGTGTCCAGGAGATAGTGGGCACTCCATAAATGTTAGTTTAATAGATGAATGAATATATATTAGACATTGAGCTATATACACCGTGGTTCTCAAAGAGTTTACAATCCAGTTGTGGTGATCAGACTGCATACATGAATGTGTGGCACAGTGTCAAAAGCACTGTAGGTTACGTAAAGGAGCTGTGAAATGCTATTTAGTCACAGAAGAGGGAGAAATTACTTCTAGTGTGGGGGCATTCAGCTTGGGACAGACTTCGTGGAGGAGAAAACATATGGCTGGGCCTTGAGGGCTGGAGAGAATTTCCACAAATAGGATGAGTAAGAGGTAAATACATGCCAAGAAGAGGGATCAGTGAGAACAAAGACACGGAGAGAAGGCACTCTTCTTCCGTGCATGACCAGTAGTGAGGTTTGATGCAAGGGGAGCATTCATGGATAGGAGGAAGAAGTGTGAAAGCTAGAGAGGGGTTTTGTGGCCCCACTGCAGAGCCCCTAAAAATGTCTTTCTCAGTGAGCAAGGCCTCTCTTGTCTCAGACCAAAATATTAACAATAATGATAATTAAATAATTTTCAGGGAACCCTGAGAGCTGAGATTGGCTTCTCACAGTAGAAAAACTTCTCAGGGGTGCCTGGGTGGCTCCGTTGGTTAAGGGTCTGCCGTTAACTCAGATCATGATCCCTGGGCCCTGGGATGGAGCCCAGCATCAAGACCCCTCGGTGGGGTCCTTGTTCAGCCAGGGGTCTGCTTTTCCCTCTCCCTCTGCCCTCACCCCCCCACTCATGCTCTTTCTCTCTCAAATAAATGAATAAAATCTTAAAAAAAAGAAAAAGAAAAGAAAAGGAAAACTTCTCAGCAGTGAGAGCTGATAAACACTAGGATGGTTTGTCAGTGGCAGGTTTAGAAAATCTTTTCCCAGAGATTTTTATGCATAAAATGTATTTGCCATTTGTCAGTGGTTTCCTGTGGCCCCTCTTAATACCATGACAAGATACCCTATGAGCTCCCAAATTCTATGATGTTTGATTAAATTAAAAAAATATTTGAGTGTTGACTTTGGACATGACCCTTGGCATTGCTATGAATAAATTCAGCCGCCTCTCCCTCCCCTCAATGTGGTTCTCTTCCAGTGATCCCCAACTCAACAAATGACACATCCATTCATACAGCTGCCCAAATCAGAAACCTATGAATAACCCTGGATTCCTCATTCTTCCTTACTACTCACTTTCTAATTAATCCCCTTCTTTCTACCTCCAAACAAACACCTCCGGAATTTGTCCACTAACTTCTCCAGTCCCCCATGCTGGTTGAAGTCACTAGCATCTCTCATGTGGATTACTGCAATAGTCTAAATGATCTCCCTACCCCCAAGCTTGGCCTTCTTCAATCCATTCCTCATGCCTGGTCTCTCCGAAATTTAAATCTGAAAGCATTTCACTCTCCTACTTAACATTTCTTCACTGGGTCTCCTACCCCGGGCCTCTGAGAGAGGCAGGAGGCATGCAGTCTGTGCCAGACCAGACCGCTTAGATCTTGCTGTGTGTGTGAACTCCAGCTGCGTTACTTACCTACTTACTGGACCTTTGGCAGGTTACCTAAGCACTCACTGCAGTTTTCTCATCTATCAAAAGGGGATCATAACAGTAGTTCATTTTAGGGTAGTTGGGAAGACTATATAAATCTGGATCTTCCTCTCCTCTGTGAACCTTTAAATTTGGAGTGCCGCTGGACTCTGGTCCTTTTCTCCATGCTCATTCCCTTAGTCATCTCAGCTGGACTCATGGCTTTAATATCCACATCCTGATAACTCCCAAATGTGCATCTCCAGCTCAGACCTGTCTCCTAAAGCCTGGGCTCATATATATCCAGCTGCCTTCTCAACATGGCCACTTGATGGCTAATAGCTATATTAAATTTAATATGTCCAAGGCTGAACTCCTAATTTTTTTCATTCAAACTTCCTCTGCGGAAAGTCCTTTTAATCTCAGTTGCTGGAACTGTCTTTCCAGATGCTCAGGCTCAGTTGCCCTTCACTTTTCTCTTGTTCTCACTCCTCACATCCCATTGACCTGGAAATCCAGCTGGCTCCTCTTTCAAGCTGTAGACAGAATCTGACTCCTCATTCCAACATCTGTGCCTACACCTGGACCAAGCCCCATCATCTCTCACCTAGATTACTACAGCAACCTCCTGACTGTCTCCTTCCACCCTGGCCTGTCCACAGTCTCTTCTCAGGCCAGCAGATTGATAAATCAGATGCTTTCACTCCTTTCTCAGAGCCTCCATTGGCTTCCCATTTCACAACCACTATAAGCCAAAATCTTTATGACAGATTTTAAGATCCTATGTAGTCAAGTCCCCAGCCTCCATTTTGTAACCTCATCTCCTACTTTACCCCTTGCTCATTCTACTCCAGTAGAACCCTTACTCTTCCTGGGACTCCTCAAGCATGCTCTGGTCTTAAGGCCTTTGCGCTGCCTGTTCCCTTTACTGGAATGGTCTTCCCCCAGATATCCCTATAGCTAGCTCCTTCTCCTTCAAGTCTTTGCTCAAATGTCTTTTCTCAACGAGACATACTCTCACTACCCTTTTAAAAACTATAGCTTTTCCTCCAGTTCTATGACACTCCTGATCTCCCTTCTGTTTTTTTTCCACTGCACTTACATCAAACATACTATATACTTTACTTATTGTATTTATTGATTATTGTTTGTCTTCTCCACTAGAATGTAAGCTCCACTAGAGCAAGGATTTTTGTTTTATGTTCACTGGTGTTATGCATCCAAACACCAGACAGTGATGGTACATAGTAGGGTTCACTAAATATCTATGGAATAAATGGACAGTGCATGCCACACAGTGTTTTTATGTGTGTGTGTGTGTGTGTGTGTGTGTATATATGCTCTGTATATATATAATTGTTATCATATATTATAATTATGTAATTACAATTACAGTATATATTACTATATATCATTTTATAAGCAATATATACAAACAATTATTAAGCTCACAACCACCTGGCTCCCATGTATCTTCCTACTCTAGTCTCCCTGTACTCTTTCTCCAATTCTAACTCAGCTATACTTAATTCTCTCATCTTTAGAGCTTTCCACATGTAATCTTGTCTTTGTCCTTCCACCCTTTTATTTGAGGAATCTACGTTCATCTCTAAGGTTTCCGTTTAGGACTTCCCTGACTCTAGGTCAGCCCCCTCCTCCAGCAAACATTGCCCCCCCCCCCCCCCCGCCGTGTGCTCCTTGCTCATCACACTGCTTTGTAATTACTTGCTTCTCATTTGTCTTCTCGGCTAGCGTCTGTGACAACAGACACTATGCCTGTGATGGCAGTCATTGCAGCATCCCCCGCACAGGGCTTGATACATAGGAGGCTCTCAGTAAACATTAATGCAACGAATGGGAAAGGCCCACAGCAGTGATTGCATTTCTGCACCTTTGACACACATTGCTTAGTAACCATGTGCAATTGCATCTTGTGCTGCTTCTTAGGTGGTAACAATCGCTAACACTTTTCTAACTCAATGCTCACAACTCTGTGCAGTCGGTACTCTTAGTGCCCTTATTTGCGAAGGGAGGAACTTGAAATTTAGGGAAGTTAAAGTACTTTCTCAAGGTCACAGAGCTGGCAAGTGTTGGATCAGGATTAAAATGCAGGCAGTCTGGCACCAGAGCCCCTAAGCTTATACGATGCCACATCATTCAGCCATTTTAATTTTGGACTTTCTCTTTTGCTTATTTAAAAATTAGTCAACTATCTGTCCTTAGCAAGTATGTCAAAGAACAATCCATACCACCTTTAATATACGTTTATCATGGCCTTCCATATGGAGGAGTTGCCACTCAAGCTTCCTTTCACTGAAGTGAAAACTAAAGCCGGAGCAGGGTGACAGCCTTGTGGTCTAGATCAGCATTAATACCATTAACACCAGTTTGCCATTTTATCGAACTTACCTCATCTTATTTAATGATTAATTTTTAGTTTAACTAAAGGTGAACCTTGTCTGACTTCTACTTCATGACTCTCTGGATCACAATGATTTGAATCACTTAAAATGTATTATCAAAGTCATTAGAACTCCAATGCAATTTGCAGAGAGACCTGCCCAACTACCTCATTTTCAGATCTGGGAACTGAGATTCTGAAAGATTAAGTGCCTTGTCCAAGGTCAAGCAGGTGGTGTTCTAGCTGGGGCTGGAAGAGGCCAACTGAATCCAAGTCCAGAGCTCTCAATAAGACGTTATACAGCCAATCACCTTTACTTCCCCCGAAGCACATCAATGAAAAGGCATCGTGTCTCTTTTTAAATGCATTTATCTAATGGAAAGTAGTTATTACTGCTCATGATTTTTTACCCATGATATGCTATTTGACAAATGTGCCCTGGAAATCACACTTTTTAGCATCCCCCTCGAGGTACATTCCAGGGTTACGCAGGTGGCGGCAGCAGCCACCCTTTTGTGACTGGATGACTAAGGGCCAGGCGGCCCTCAGATTGTTCACGACAGCCAATCAGGGCTCGGAGCCACAGAACTGCACCAATTGGAGATTACCGAAGCCTCAACAAGGGCCAATTGGGGGCTCAAAGCCGAGAAGAATGTGACTGGCGGACAGCGATCAATCAGAGGGGAGAAGTGGATCACTGACGTCCAATCAGAGGCTTTAAGATCTCTGTCGTGGGCGGTGCTGGCGTGAGGCCCACGGGCCAGCCAATCAGCAGGTGAGCGGCCGCCGGCGCGCGTGCGGGGGACGGCCGGGGGGCGGTGTCTGTCTGTGCTTCGGAACGGTGGGTACTGAGAAGAGCGAGGCTGGGTGAGAAGGGCTCGCGACCCGGGGCCGAGGTGGGGGCAGCGCGTGCACGCTCCCGGCTGGGGTCTGGGGTTGGGGGTTGGGGACTGGGATGCGCGAGGGGCCGGGCCGGGCGCGCGGGGCAGGTTCAGAGTTACGGGTTGCCGTGGGATTGACCCTCCGAGATACAGGATGCGGCGGGGAGAGCTGAGGGACCGAGTACCGGGCTGGCGAGGTGACCTGTGGTTGAGGGAGGAGGGGACACTGTTGCCACGGCAACGCACGTGTGCAGTCTGGCGACCTTTTTCATCGCTTGAACGTGCGCACACCTTAAATGCCCCACCAGCACCACCCCCGCCCTAAACGGCCTCCATCATATTTTGCTCGCAGGCAGCTGGGCTGGGACCAGCGCAAAAATAACCCACTTTAGCAGCCGCCTCTCCTCCCCAGCCTGGTTACCCACCTCTTCCCCTCCCTTCTGCTGCCTCGTCCGCGGAGAGAGGGATTAAGCTTGCCCTGGGGCACTTGGTACGACAGGCCTTTGCTGTTTGACCACCTGGGCCAGTTCGCAGCCAGCTCGTGGAATGGGGTCATTCCCCACACCTGGGGTCCAGCGCGGGCGCCACATACTGGGGACAGGCACCATAGAGATGCTGCCGCCTGAGAGACCTTGGGTATCCCCCAGAGAGATTTTTTTTAGGGCAGTCAATGCAGAACCTTGTTCATAACAAGTCCTCAGAGAATGGGGTCTGACTGAATGAATGAAGACCACAGTGATGGCTTTCCATCCGTGGACCAACGCTGTCCAATAGATATATAAAGCGAACCAGATAATGTAATTTTACATTTTTCTAGTAACCACATTTTTTAAAAAGGTTAAATTAGGGGCGCCTGGATGGCTCAGTGGGTTAAGCATCTGCCTTCAGCTCAGGTCATGATCCCAGGGTCCTGAGATTGAGTCCCACATAGGGCTCCTTGCTCAGCAGGGAGCCTGCTTCTCCCACTGCCTGCGGCTCCCCCGGCTTGTGCTCTCTCTCTCTGTCAAATAAATAAAACCTTTAAAAACAAGGTTAAATTAATTTTAGTATATTTTATTTACCTGATATATCAAAATATCAATATTGAGTTAATATTAATCTATTAAATTATTGGTATCTAAGATTCCATTTTTAATACAAGACCTTCAGAGTCTGGTGTGTACTTATACTTACAGCACATCTCTGTTCAGACCAGACACATATCAAGTGCTTAATGGTGGCATTTAGCTAATGGCTGCCATATGAGACTGTGGACAACCATAAGCATTTCTTATGTATGTGTGAGTTGTGGCTAAATACATGAAACTCATCAATATTCTTTGAAACTCTTTTTTGTGTGCGGAGCACTGCAATGAGGCAACAAGAAACGGTAAGGCCTGGTCTTTTTTCTCAAGGAGCTTCCAGTCCAGTTGAGAAAACAGACATCCAAAAATTAAGTAGAATTTTAAATGGTTATAATTAAGGCAGTAGTAAAGATAACCAGGCAGTAGATTACTGGCAAACAGGATGGCTGATAATTATCCTTAGGAATTCTAGGGAGGGATACTTCAGATTCTTACAGGAGAGGAGGACTTGAGTCTGCTCTTGAAGGATGGGTACAGTGTTTTGATTGAGTGGAATTGACCATGCCTTCTTTTATTTAGGGTTGAAAATTGGCAGTTCTGAGGCTTTCAGACCAAAGAAGACTTTCCTCTCTCACTGACAATCGCCACCATGATTCATAGCCTCTTCTTGATCAACTCCTCAGGAGATATTTTCCTGGAAAAACATTGGAAAAGTGTGGTCAGCCGTTCTGTTTGTGATTACTTTTTTGAGGCGCAAGAGAGAGCGACTGAGGCAGAAAATGTACCTCCAGTTATCCCTACCCCTCACCACTATCTCTTAAGTGTTTACCGTCACAAGATCTTTTTTGTGGCTGTGATCCAGACAGAGGTCCCACCTCTGTTTGTTATTGAGTTCCTTCACCGCGTAGTGGACACATTTCAGGTGCGTGAATATGAGGAGGCTCGTACATGTAAATTATAAAGTATCTTTATGGTTCTTTTTCCATTGTATTCGGCTTTAATTAAGGAACTTTTTAAAAAAATCAAAACTGACATTGCTCTCACTTCCTCTCCCGTCTGATAAGATTCTTGTTTCTGTTTATTGAATTGGCTGCATCTGATATGACAAATTGAGTACATTTGAACCTGTTGCATAAGAAAGCCACTCTACTTGGTATGATTGTATACAGTCATTTTAGTTCTGGAGATTGGAATTGGCCTACTTTTTGTTCATAAATCAGAGGAATTTAATTTTGGGTTTTTGTTTTGTTTTTGTGGACTTGATGCTAGCCATTGTCAACTGCGTTGCTTTGAGTTGCCTCAAAAAGTGATGAGTGTATAAAGATACGTATATTTTCAAAAGTTAGGAAAAAGCTAAGTAATGCTTGTTTCACTCTCCTTGGCAGGAGTAATTTGTGAACCCAAACTTCATCTTGGGTTTGGGATGCTTATCCACAGCATGTCAGTGATGAACTCTTGTTGCAAACAAGATTGGAAAATCTTCTGTTCCTGTAAAGAATTTAAGTGATACATTTTACAAGACACGGTTTTCACTTTGAGTTTTTCTTTCAGGAATAGATTTGAAGATCTTAGGGGAGCAGGGCATAGGGGAAGTATAAGTAAGTTATACCAGGATGTCAGCACCATTTATAGCAGAGGATTTTAGGCTGTCCAGACTCTGAATTCAAACAGTGGGATCCTTCCCCCTAAAAGAATTGCTCAAATTCTAAGTGTTACAGTTATTTGCATAACTCAGACAGTAAGTGAGAAGCAAGGACCCTTTGGTTTAACTTCTGTGTCATGTGAAGTCTGGAATTGGTCATATGAATACAGAAATTGTGGAATTAGAGAAGAGAATGACTCCGATATGACGATGAAATTAAAAAACAAGTCAAAGAGCCCTTTCATCATTTGCAGTCATATCTGTATCACATGTCTAGAACAGCATATATTTCATAATTTTTTTCCCACCAATACTTGCTGGTAGCACGATTCTGGGTTTCCAATTCTCATGTGGCATACCAGTTGGTTCCCACAGTAAAAACTTGGGAATTGTAAATCCCAGTATGTGGAGGAACTAAAAGTAGAAGAACCCAGTATTATGACCTTAAACTACCCTTGTTGGGCCTTAGTATGATTTCCACATACGATATTTTACCCCATTCTAAGATTAACAGTCCCATTGGTGAAACCCAGCATTTGCTTCATACCAATATTATGTAATTTATTACAAGACAGGAAGTGAGAAAGGTTGCTTAATCTAGTGGAAACCACAGAGGAATTTGGGATAACAGTCAAGTCGCTAGTTTGGAAGTCTGGGACTTCAGAGCTTGTCGTTTTTGAAGGATTTGTTAAAAGCAAATGGACATACCCTGATTTTAATGTCTTCTCTCTGGCTGCATTATTTTTTTAGTACTGGAATATGATGGAGGAGTTCCAGCTGTAGAATTGCAAATGCTTTTGCTATAGCAATTTGTCATACTTATAGGCATTCTTTCCAGTGACTCAGTTCACATTATGTCTGATTTATAAAATCTCGTAAGGTGTCTTATTTATTTTTCAAAAGAAAAGCACTCTTGGGAAGGAAATGTGTTACTTTTTCCCCCCGCTTAAATCCTTGTTTTTAAAGAAGAAGTCTTGTTTTAGAAACACATTCCTGACTCTTAAGTGTTCTTGGATATTGGAATGTCTCTGATATTTGCCATTATCTGATGTAATTTAGATCACAGCTGTAGTCTGTTCAGTTATGGATGTCATGATTTTAGGAGCATATTGGGAAACTAGAGCGTATTCAAAGAAATGTCAAGGTTGTGGAACAATCTAGAAACCATACCACAGCACGAACAGTGGAAGGATCAAACAGTTTGGGTGGGAGAAAAAAAATGGAAGTGAAAGCTTGCAGCTGTCTTCAAATAACTGCGGGGCTGTTATGTAAATTTGTTCTGTAAGGCAAATCTAGGAAGCAAATTTCAGTCTAGCAAAAGAAAGAACTTTCTAATAATCAGAGCTTTCCATGAATAGAACGGGCTTTCTCAAAAGGGTGAATTTCCTTTCAGTGGATGAATTCAACGAGGGTTGTATGACCATCTCAGAGGTCCTGGAAAAGATGTGACTGATGTTGCTAGAAGGGGCATATCAAATGACTACGAGCATTTTTCTTTTAATCATCATGCATCACATTTGATAAAGTACTTTTTGTTTACAAAGCACTTCCACACATACTATCATTTAATCAGTCATGCTTAGTTCTTAAAACATCCCTGTGCATCCAGTGGTATTATCCTAATTATACTCTTAAAAGAAAAATCAAAACCCGAATTAGCATGACTTTTCTAGTAAGTGACAATAAGGTTACCATGCAGGTCTGATTTGGAATCCAGTGTTTTTTCCACAACCTGGATCATTTAGTATCTCAGTCTTTATTAGTAAAAGGACAAAGCCTTAGAATCCTAGCATCTTAGTGTAGAGATGATCCAAAGAGATTTTCTGGTGTGCTAGTTCATCTCCCTCATTTCATTTTATTTCCCTCTCAGTTCGTATTTGCTGCATGAATGTTAAGGAATAATACAACAGAAAGGTTTAAAAAGATTTTGGGGTCCAATCTGTGTCATATCAAGTATTATTATTTTGCATAGTTCTTTCAAATTCTTGTTCTTAAGCACGTATGATAGTCTAGATTCAGTTTTGTCTAGTTGAAGAAACTAACCCAAAAAGGTTAAATGACTTTCTCTTAATTTATAAAAGAAGTTAGTAATGACACTAGTACTATAAGCCAGTCCAGTGTTCTTTCTGCCTCTGCGTAAGAGAACTACGGTTATGCTTCATTCCCTTATTGTAGAAGAATATCCCAAAAGCACTGTGTAAACACATGGACAGGCCTAGATCCTTATTCCCTAGGACGATTCTCTTTATTACAATCTCTGAATGATTTACATTATATATATTGTGTTTTCATCAGGATTATTTTGGAGTCTGTTCAGAGCCAGTGATCAAAGACAATGTGGTTGTGGTTTATGAGGTACTAGAAGAGATGCTTGACAATGGGTTTCCATTGGCTACTGAGTCAAACATCCTCAAAGAACTGATAAAGCCTCCCACTATCCTTCGAACGGTCGTCAACACCATAACAGGTATGGAGAAAGGGGAAACCCACAGAGAGCTGCAGTCCTGGGTGTGCCTTCCTCCCGCGTTGTGCATTGTTTTGAGTGCTTGTCTTTGGGGCTCTCAGATGTCCAGATGCTTTAATTTTGCTCCTTACAGTCTTTGATTATGACCTGAAATGTGTCTTTGTTATGTAGAAAATACCCTGATTTCAATGACAGAATAAAGTGTGCTCCTTTAAAAAGAGGTTTTTTTTTTCTGATTACAGAAGAAACACTTGATTATTATAGAAATGTCAGAGATCCAGAAAAGCACAAAGAACTTGAAAATAACTTTCTTTTAAAAAAGATTTTATTTATTTGTCAGCGAGAGAGGGAACACAAGCAGGGGGAAGGGGCAGGCAGAGGGAGAAGCAGGCTCCCTGCTGAGCAGGAACCCCTGATGCGGGGCTCGATCCTGGAACCCTGGGATCACCACCAAAGCCGAAGGCAGACACTTAATTTACGGAGCCACCCAGGCGTCCCCAAAATAACTTAATCCCGCCACAGTTTTGACATACTTTTTCTATTTTCTAGACAGATGAATAATGAATAGATGCATAGAATTTTTAAAAAACAATGCTTGTATATTTTTTATAACTTTCATCAGTATTTTGTGAACATTATCCCATTATGATACATTTTCTTCTACGTGATTTTTAGTGACTTTATAATTTTTATAATTTTTAGTGACTTTATAATTTTCTTCCATATGGAATAGACCTTAAGTTATTTACTCGGTCCGTGTTTCTGAGTTTCTGATTTTTTGTTCTTTTAAAAAAAAGTAATTAACATTTTTATACTTAAATCTTTGTGTACATGTTTTCAATACTAGCAATGGAAGTACTAGATCAAAGGGTATGCTCATTTTAAGCATTGTGCCAAATTGCCCTTCAGAAAATTTATACTTTCAGTAGCAGTTTCTATGCATCCTAGCCAACCCTACTATTATTATTAATTTTTTTCAAAACTTTGGCAATTGAATTCTTTTTTTTTTTCTTTAAAGATTTTACTTATTTATTTGACAGGGAGAGAACACGAGCAAGCACACAAGCAGGGGGAGCAGGAGAGGGAGAATTAGGCTTCCCACTGAGCAGGGAGCCCAATGCAGGGCTTGATCCTAGGACCCTGGGATCATGACTTGAGCCAAAGGCAGATGCTTAACTGACTGAGCCACCCAGGCACCCCAGTTTAGTCTTATCTTATGTATATCCTCATTTTTTATTACTGAGGAAGTTAAAACCCTTCGAGTATTCATTGACTGTACTTCCTCTATTGTGAATTACCTAGTTGTGTGTCCTTTGCCCAGTTTTTCTTTTGTTGTTGAAATGTGGTTCTTTTCTCATACTAATTTAAAAGAATCCTTTCGGGACACCTGGGTGGCTTAGTCAGTTAAGCGTCTGACTCTTGATCTCAGCTCAGGTCTTGATCTCAGGGTTGTGAGTTCAAGTTCCAAATTGGGCTCCATGCTGGGTGTGGAGCCTACTTAAAAAAAAAAAAAAAGGAAAAAGAATTCCTTTTATTTAAGGACATTAAACTATCGTGTATGTTGGAAATACTGGAAATATACATGGTAGTTTGTAGTTCATTTTTGATCCCGTTACAGATATTTTCTCACAGTCTATGTGAGACTTGTCATTTAGCATTGTTTACAGTGTGTTTAGCCACAATTTAATTCTGATTTAATCATATTAATCATTCTGCTTCATTCAGCTTTTATATTTTGGCTCTTAATATATAAACAAGGGTTTGCATGGCATTTTGGCTCTTGCTTAATATATAAACAAGGGTTGCACGGCATTTAACAAACTGATTGAAAGATAATTTTTAAGAAGTATGAATATGCAAGAATACCTGGGAATATTTTGAAAAAGAATTACAAAGCTGTTGGACAGATTTATCTTGTCAAATATCAAGCTCTATATTAAGTTCATATGGTACAGGAGACAAAAACTCATAGATAAGCTCTAAAAGCCAAGACAGTTTTGAAAATAAATATATATTTTTTATTTCATTTCATTTCATATTTTTTAAGATTTTATTTATCTGACAGCAAGCATAAGCAAGGGGAGCAGCAGAGGGGGCGCGAGAAGCAGGCTCCCCACTGAGCAGAGAGCCTGATATGGGGCTCGATCCCAGGACCCTGAGATCATGACCTGAAGGCAGATGCTTAACTGACCCAGATGCCCCAAAAATAAATATTTTCTAAAAAGATCGAGAACAGGAGAGAAAATGTGTCCCATCGGATAGATACAAGATAAGTTTTGGTAATTTTTAAAACGTAGTATTGGCCCAGTAATAGACAAATAGATGATTGCGATAAGGTAGAAAGTTCAGAAACAGGGCGCCTGGGTGGCTTAGTTGGTTAAGCGTCTGCCTTCGGCTCAGGTCATGATTCCAGGGTCTTGGGACAGAGTCCTGCATTGGGCTCCCTGCTCAGCATTGGGAGTCTGCTTCTCCCTCTGCTGCACTCTCTCCCCATCTCTGTCAAATAAATAAGATCTTAAAAAAAAAAAGAAAAAGTTCAGAAACAGACCCTTGCTTTTGTAGGAATTTGATATACATAGATCATATATCAAATCAGTGGGCCAGGGGGCCAGGGTACCATATTATATTAGGACAGTCAGCTTTGATAAGAACAAAATGAAGTCCCTCTACCCATTCTGTACACAAAATAAATTCTAGCAAGTTCAAATAGTTAAATACAAACCTTATAATTGTTAGAAGAAAACATAGAGGAATGTCTTTTTGATCTCAGAGAAGGGAAGGTCTTCTTTTTTCTTTTATGGTTTCATTTTGGACTTAATTCTTTTTTTTTTATAATTTTTTTATTGTTATGTTAATCACCATATATTACATCATTAGTTTTTGGTGCAGTGTTCCATGATTCATGGACTTAATTCTTTAATCCATTTGGAAATTATCTTGGTATACAATGTATACATGTATACAATGTAAAGTAAGGCTCCACGTTTATTTCTTCAAAATTATCTACCAGCTATCCTAGCACCATTTGTTAATTCCCTGTTTTAAAATATTTTTATCATGTACTAAGCCACTGTGGATTCTTTGTTTTTAGGCTTCCTGCCTTAGCATACTGCTTTGATTATTATAGCTTGATGACATGTTTTAATATGTGGTGCCTCTTTTTAAGAAAACACATTGGTTGGGTTTTTCAATATTCTGGGTTCATTTAACTCTTAAGTTCTTTGTTAGTGCCTGAATCATTTATGAATACTATGGAGTCATTTTTCTGAATCTCTCTTAAATCTAGAAAAAGGTACCTGAGAGTCATTTTTGAAAAGCTGAACTGTTTTGCAAACATGCTGAATATATGTGTGTGTTTAAGGTTTCTTTCTTTAGATTAAAAACATCCAGGTTACAAAAGAAGGAAATAGACTTTAAATTAGTTATAATATTTCAGAATTATAGCATAGAACTTTTGGATTAAAAAATATTTTTGATTCTTGGCCGGGGGGAACAGGGAATTGCTTTACAACTCTTATAGACAGGGAAAGACCTAATTTGTATTCTTTTCCTAAGATTCAGTATTAGTAGTAGTAAAATGTGTGCATTTTAATAACTAGCATAAATGTACTTAAGAACCTACCTTAAAGTAGAATACTGTTTTTACCCATAAAAATTTTATATTAATATGTAGATCACCATCCCTGCTGAAAGCCAGTACATTATTTAAGCTACAAGCTATGGTGAAATTTGAGAGACCAAGTTCAAGTTTCTTTCAAAACCAAAATATGATATCTGTTTCTCAGGTAACTTTTTAACCTTTATTCTGCTCAAAGAAGCAGACCAGATGGAAAGAAGTTTTTAGAATAGACTACGTTACCCAGACAGAAGTTGAGAAAACTCTTTTTTTTTTTTTTAATTCTCCAATTGAGTGCATGAATAATGGGAACATAGAAACTTCTAGGGAAGTGTTCTACCAGTTATTAGATAATTGGTTACATCTAAGTATCCAATTGGAATTACAGTCATATTCATTATCTAGGAAGCACCAATGTGGGTGACCAGCTTCCTACTGGACAGCTGTCAGTGGTGCCCTGGCGAAGAACTGGGGTGAAGTACACCAACAATGAGGCCTATTTTGATGTGATCGAAGAGATTGATGCTATCATTGATAAATCAGGTAGGTGCTTTTAATCTGTTTTCAGAACTAGAAAGTAGAAAGAGTCTCCTTCATACAGTGCTTGCTAGTATCAGAATTATCCCCCATTCAAGATCATTCATTTTAATTTAGTGCCTACTTTGTGTCAAGCACTGTGCTAGGTACTGGAAATAGACTTAAATATTATGATGCAGATGACATGATAATATTTGTAGGGACCCCTAAAGACTCAACAGAAAACTGTTAGAACTAATAAACAAATTCTGTAAAGTTGCAAGGTATACAATCAACATAAAAAACAGTAGCATTTCTAAATACAAACAATGAACTATGCTAAAAGAAAATTAAGAAAACAGTCCCATTTTCAAAAGCACCAAAAAGAATAAAATAGGAATAAACTTAACCAAACTCGTACTCAGAAAATTATAAAACATTGATGAAGGAAATTAAAGAAGACACAAATAAATGGAAAGGCATCCTGTGTTCACAGAATGGAAGAATTAATATTACTAAAATGTTCAGAGGCACCTGGGTGGTTCATTCGATTAAGCGTCTGCCTTCAGCTCAGGTCATGATCTCAGGGTCCTGGGATCGAGCCCCACGTCAGACTCCCTGCTTGCTCAGCAGGGAGTCTGCTTCTCCCTCTCCTGCCCCTCTCCACCACCCTGCCCCGTGCTCATGCTTGCTCTCAAATCTTAAAAAAAAAGATTCTCTCTCTCCCTCTGCCCCTCCTTCTCCCTCCCTTTCAAACAAAAATAAAATTTTTTAAAAACTTTTGAAAAAGTCCATATTACCCAAAGCAATCTATAGATTCAGTGTAATCCCTATCAAAATCCCAATGGCACTCTTTACAGAAATAGAAAAAACAATGCTAAAATTCATATGGAACCACAAAAGACCCCAAATAGCCAAAGCAATCTTGAGCAAGAACAACAAAGCTGGAGACTTCATACTTCCTGTTTTCAAAATATATTACAAAGCTACAGTAATCAAAACTATTATACTGGCATAAAAACAGACACATAGGCCAATGAAACAGAATAGAGAGTTCAGAAATAAAATCATGCATTTACAGTCAACTGATCTTTGACGAGAACCAAGATTACACCATGGGGAAAGGATAGTCTCTTCATTAAATGATGCTGGGGAAACAGAATATTCACATGTGGAAGAATAAAATTGGACCCTTATCTCACTCCAAAAAAAAATACAAAAAACAAAACTCAAAATGGATTAAAGACTTAAATGTAAAATGTGAAATCATAAAACTGCTAGAAGAAGACACAGGGAAAGAGCTTCTTGACACTGGTCTGGATAATGGCTTTTTTGGATATGACACCAAAAGCAAAAATAGAAAATTAGGATTGCATCAAACTAAAAAGTTTCTGCACAACAAAAACAGTCAACACAGTGAAAAGGCAACCTGTGGGAGAAGCTCAAGGAGACCGTGTTGAGTGAAAGGAAAGAGAAGTTCAGAATTATGAAAAAGCATGGGCATTTCAAAGCTGTGCAAAGAAAGGGAAACCCGCAAGAAAGGGGAACCCTCCTACACTGTTGGTGGGAATGCAAGCTGGTGCAACCTCTCTGGAAAACAGTATGGAGGTTCCTCAAACAGTTGAAAATAGAGCTACCATACAATCCAGCAATTGCACTGCTGGGTATTTACCACAAAGATACAAATGTAGGGATCCAAAGGGGTACGTGCACTCCAATGTTTATAGCAGCAATGTCCACAATAGCCAAACTGTGGAAAGAATCAAGATGTCCATCGACAGATGAATGGATAAAGAAGTGGTATATATACACAATGGAATATTATGCAGCCATCAAAAGGAATGAGATCTTGCCATTTGCAACGATGTGGATGGAACTGGAGGGTGTTATGCTGAGTGAAATAAGTCAATCGGAGAAAGACATGTATCATATGACCTCACTGATACGAGAAATTCTTAATCTCAGGAAACAAACTGAGGGTTGGTGGAGTGGTAGGGGGGTGGGAGGGTTGGGGTAGCTGGGTGATAGACATTGGGGAGGGTATGTGCTATGGTGAGCGCTGTGAATTGTGCAAGACTGTTGAATCACGGATCTGTACTTCTAAAACAAATAATGCAACATATGTTAAGAAAAAAGAAAAAGAAGAAGATAGCAGGAGGGGAAGAATGAAGGGGAGTAAGTTGGAGGGGGAGACGAACCATGAGAGACGATGGACTCTGAAAAACAAACTGAGGGTTCTAGAGGGGAGGAGGGTGGGGTGATGGGTTAGCCTGGTGATGGGTATTAAAGAGGGCATATTATGTGTGGAGCACTGGGTGTTATGCACAAACAATGAATCATGGAACACTACATCAAGAACTAATGATGTAATGTATGGTGATTAACATAACAATAAAAAATTTAAAAAAAAAAGGGAAACCCGCAAAAAGCACTGAGGAAGAGGAGCTAGAAAAATAGAAAACTAGGTGAAGTTAGGAGAAAGGAGGGTTTTACAAAGGGAGAAGTGGTCAACAATGACATGCTACAGAGAACTTCTATAGGATAAAGATGAAAAGTGTCCATTTGATTCATTGGTGACCATAGGGAGAGCAGTTGCTGCTGTGAGGTTTTCTGAACCATTGGTTATGATGATACCCTGTTTGATTCTGGTACTAGATGGAAAACTTCTTTAAGCTAATAACTGTCTCATTAATCTTTTATCCCCATTGCTTCATCATAGTGTCTCATATTTGATATGCAGTTGATAAATGTGTAGAAGGATGGACCAATGCATTGGGTAGATGAATAGATGGACAGAAGGAAGGAAGAAAGGAAGGGGGGGAGGGAGAAGACAAAAGTTGGGGAAGAAAAGAGAAGATTAAGGTGGTAGGGAGGAAATAAGTTGGTTGGGAAAGACAGGAATGTTGAATAACCTCTTACCGTCTTTTTTGTCTTGTTCCTGTCTCAGGTTCCACAATTACTGCTGAGATCCAGGGGGTCATTGATGCCTGCGTCAAGCTGACTGGAATGCCAGACCTTACGCTATCCTTCATGGTAAAATCCTAAACCACAGGTTCAGATCTCGGGATGGCAAATTAATTGCTTCTGGAAAGACAGTGGTGAGAATGGAATGGAACAGTAAGAAATAATTAAAGATGGGGTGCCTGGGTGGTTAATCAGTTAAGTGTCCGACTCTCGATCTCAGCTGAAGTCTTGATCTCAGGGTCGTGAGTTTAAGCCCCACACTGGGTTCCACGCTGGGTGTGGAGCCTACTTAAAAAAAAAAAAAGAAAAAAAAGAATTAAGGACAGCCACAAAGCTTGTATCAGGCTTGAATTTTCTATAAGTAGATACAGAATTTGTGTGTGTGGGTGTGCGTGTGTGCGTGCATGTTTAAATAAAGACAGCATCTGAATGAGTTTCCCAAAAGCAATATGGGTGTTTAATTCCTCCTAATTGCTTTTCCTTGCCTGGTGACTACAGAATCCTAGGTTGTTGGATGATGTCAGCTTCCATCCTTGTGTTCGTTTCAAGCGCTGGGAATCTGAGCGTATTCTCTCCTTCATCCCTCCTGATGGAAACTTTCGCCTGCTCTCTTACCATGTCAGTGCACAGAAGTAAGCAGCCCTTATAATTAAGAATAGAATCTGTGTATATGTGTATATGTGGAAACAGTACCCGTAGTGATTAAGGACTCAGGCTCTAGAGTTACCTGGGTTCAAATTCCAGTTTCTGTACTTACTAATCGGGTAACCTCAGGTGAGTTGTTTAACCTTTCTGTGTCTGTTTTCTTATCTGTAAGTGGAAAACAAAAAAATGGGCCTTGTTTGAAGATTAAATAAAACAGTCTAAATAGTGCTTAACACAAAGTTGGTGCTCATTAAGTTTGCTGCTGCTGTTTTTGTTACTGTATGTCTAAACAAGCACACTTTTTTCCTCAAATTGGAATCCGAGTACACCTGTATTCAATCCCCATGACCCAAAAGAGCATTAAACTATGCTATGAAAAATCATAAAAGGCAGTCATTTTTGGTCTTGAACATTCTCTTTAATATCTCTTCAAAGGACTTTAGAAGCTCTTAGTATAAGGTGTGTAGTAGAAGGAATACAGACTGAAGAGAGCCATGACACCTCAGAGCCACCAATACTTTCCTGTGGGATTTGGAATAAATAATTTAGGAAAATATCTGCATGCTTGAGAGCAAAGGCTCTAGGCCCAGACTGCCTACATTTAAACCCCATCTTCAGTACTTATGATATATGACCTTGGGCAAGTTACTTAATCTTAGTGAAGCAAAAGGACATCATTATTTATGTATAAAATCAGAGGACAGGAGCAGTACCTACTTCATACTTATTGGGAGGATTAAACAAGATAATGGAGATAAAACATCTAGCATAGTACTGGCAGACAGGAGTGTTTAATAGATGTTAAGAACTATTACTGCTTTGGTATTACTCTGTGATTTCTCTATTTCCTGCTCTGTCCTATCATGACAGCCTACCATACGTACCTCATAAGATTTCATGAGGATCAGAGGAAGTCCAGTAAAAGCACTCCCAAGATATTATAAAAGGTCATGAGGTATGAATAGTACTGTCCCAAGTACAGATAATTATTGGTCACATGTCATAAAGTAAAACACATAGATATGGTGACTCCTAATTTTTATCTCTAATGCCTTTCTCATAGTAGGCTTAGGATACCCTTTGGTTTTTGTTAATATTATTCAGAGTCATTGGAAGAGTTAGTTCACTTACTAGACAGCATCTTAGCTATACAAAAAGAAAAAATTTGAAGATTACTGGGGTGTTTCCTGTGCCCTTTTTTTTTTTTTTTAATATAAGGAGTAAAAAAGTAGATAAGGAAGGAAAAGCTGTCAATGGGGCAAAGAAAAAAACAAAAACAAAAACAGTATAAAAGAAGAAAATGTTGCCATTTTTCCAGTATAGTAATGAAATGGGTTTTTTGTCTCTCTTTTCCAGTCTGGTGGCAATTCCAGTGTATGTTAAACATAGCATCAGTTTCCGGGACAGTAGTTCACTTGGACGCTTTGAAATAACAGTGGGACCGAAGCAGACTATGGGGAAGACCATAGAGGGAGTGATTGTCACCAGCCAGATGCCCAAAGGGGTCCTGAATATGAGCCTCACTCCATCTCAGGGGACACATACATTTGACCCAGTTACCAAGGTAGGAGGAGAATAAGCAGGAGGTTTCAAATTGCTGATATTAAATAGAAGTATTTCTGCAGGAGCTCTCCACATAGACGTTACACCTTGTTGAAAGGAAAGCTTAATCAAAGGGGCATCCTTTTTCTCCTTGAGATAATTTATGGTGACAAATAGTTTTCTCTATTGAAAACCACTCTAGGGGCAGCTCGTAATACTGTGAACATATGCCCTGAGGTTAGAGCTGAACCACCTCAGATGAAAGGTTCCACTGTAACTTCTTTCTTTTTCTTTAAAGATGTTGTCATGGGATGTAGGAAAAATAAATCCGCAAAAGCTACCAAGTTTGAAGGGGACCATGAGTCTTCAGGCTGGAGCTTCCAAGCCAGATGAGAACCCCACAATTAATCTGCAGTTTAAGATCCAGCAGCTGGCCATTTCTGGTGAGTGACTCACGACTTAGGTGGCCTCATGAGAACAGAGGTGGCTCTCTCCAGTAGGACATAGATCTCAGAATGCCTTCTGCTGGCTCCCTGTTTATGGAGTTTGGTTTCATTACCTGATAGGTAATCTTGAGTAAAATCTTCTCTAGCATTTCTGGGGAAAGTTCATCATCCTTACTTTGAAGTTGGCTGAAGTGATTTGACTGCCAATATATAAGATACAGTTGAGAAGGAAATAGTGTGGGTAGATGGAGTGTTGGCAAGCAGGTGTTGAGTCATACTGGGGTTGTCAGTTTGGAGTCCCAAGGTTTTCAGGATGGGAAGCCTTCTGCGTTCTCAGCTGGTAACCAAGAAGTATAATTTCCCCTCCTTTCCCCCAGATTCAGAAGGACTTTCATATTTGCTTTTATTACCATGTGGAACCCACGTCAGCCTGCTGAGGTCTGCGCCTGTCTCAGGCTGGTGATGATGATAGTTACTGCCTATCAGGCATTTACTATGTGCCAGGCACTGTTTTAAGCTCTTTCATCTATGTTATTATTTAATCCTTAGAACAACTGTATAAGGTAGATAGGAGATGACTTCAGCTTTATATAAAGTTCCTATTTTTCTTTATCAACAGAACTTGTCTAATTTAAGTGGTTAACATTCACTTCAATTATAAACTCTTTCATCTTAAAACACTTCACAAATTTTAAAGCCCTATACAGTATAAAATGTGTTTTGCTGTAGTGAGAATTCTCACTGAAGTGAGAACACTTAGGAAGCATTCATCATTAAGTTATATTTTATTTCATTATTCATTAATTTTATTATTTATTCATGTATTCCATCCAATAACTTGAGAAAAACATAGAAGGGTCTTATTCTTTCCTTATCCTCATATCAGTCTGCATGTAACTTTCTGCCCTTGCCACTTTACAAACAGGTCTTCCAGTAGGATAGCTTTATGTTGGAGCAGTTTTTATTATCGGTGTATGGACCAAGAGTCAAAAACCTGTGAGCTTTAGAAAAGTGAAATAAATAAGGGACAATTATTATTATTTTTCTGGTTCATTGTTACAACTGTCTCTATCCCACTGATCCCTCTGAATTAAAATGAATTTAAACATACATGCTACATGCTCCTTTTTGAATAACGCCTATCTTCCTTCCTTCCAGGACTCAAGGTGAATCGTCTGGATATGTATGGAGAAAAGTACAAACCCTTTAAGGGCATAAAATACATGACCAAAGCTGGAAAGTTCCAAGTTCGAACCTGAAGGGAGAGTTTTGCAAAAAGAACAGTCATGAACGTTTTTTCATTTCTTACTTTCTAAAAGTAAAAAATATCAGCCTGTCTCCTAGGTCAGTATCCCCTTCTGGACCCACCCGCTCCCTTTTTTCCTTAGCCTTCAGTGCCATGGAGCTAATCAAGGGAGAGAAGGGTCGCCAGGGAGAACTGGACAGAACTGAAACACAATCAGCACCAACTCAGTTCTGCGAGAAGAGATGTGTGACGGAGGGTGGAGACACTTGATGCCATATTTGACTATTCTTAACGTGGCTACCATAGAAAAAGACTAGCATTTGTTACTTGCTTGGCTTTAATGATCTAAAGCCAACGAACGACTTCTTTTTGTTTTTTAAGGTAGAAAGATTAGAAAGAAGGAAAGAAAGCTTGGAAGAGTATGAATGTTAGTCACAGAAAGGCCAGTTAAGGATCTGATCTATGAGGGAGAAGAAAGGAAACAGTATTGAAGAGGTATGAGGACACAGGCTCAAGTGAAAGGGGCAGGAGAAGTAGTCAAGCCCCATATGAAGGAGGGTTGGAAGGAAAAGAGTGGAGTTGGTTTCTTTCTGATCCCTCTACTTTGATATATATATATATAAAATCATCAGTACTTCTAGAAGGGAACTGGAAACTTCTTAAATTTGAGTCCACTGATGACATGGAAAACCCCAGTAGAATCAGATTTTCCCTTGAAGACTATGACGATATCCGACCAGTTTTCAGATACTAACTACTGTTTGCCTTTAGCACTTGGTCTGTCATCTTCTGTGAGAAGGTGACCTGCCCTCTTCCTGGCAGAGGCCGCCTGAAATGCCCCTTTTCCAACCCAAAACAGTTTATTCACTTTACATTGCAGAATTCACCATTTTTCCTGTTACCCAAGGACAGTTTCAGAAAAGCCAATCCCATAATCCCAGGGCAGCCAGATTTTGTGTGTCACCGTTTTGGAGTGTAGATGACCAACTGCTTCCTCATGAAGTGCATCATGGCTGTAACCCAGTGACTCCTTATTTACACTTGTCAGTGCTGGACTAGTGCTGGAGTCTTTAAAAATTTATATAAAAGACAGGTTTTAAAATTATTCTAGCTTAAGGAGTGATACTGTGCTCTGCTTAATGCATGGAGAAAAATGAAGACCTCTCCAAACCCTACAATTTTTCTCTAAAGCCCTGTTTCCAAATCCTTCAGCAATTTTGTTTTGCTAGTTTTATCTCCCTACTTCCTGGACTTGTTTTTGCTGCACAGTAATGTTGTTTTGTGGTTTTCCTCTGGGATAAATTGTGCTCTATACAAACAGTTGTGTTTCATACTCCCATCGCTCCAGAATTTGTCCTGAATGACTATGTCCTGCATACATACTGGTAGGGTAGGGGAACAGCCCTGCCTATGATTCCACAATACTCGGAATTACTTCTGAGGGCTCTGAAGGATTTTAAGGTTTCCTAGGTCATAGGAAAACAACCAGTCTTGGTCCCTGGATATTTTTAGGTTTGTAAATCTAGCTGTGATATTTCCTCCCAGACAGTTCATCCTAATTTCAAGGGAAGAACTTGAGGAGAAATCAAGTATCTAGGGTATGGGACCTCCAGGCCTTAGCATGTGAAGTAATGTATCACCTGCATAGCAGACCTCTGGAGCCCAGTGGAGCATCGCGGCGACCACCCATCAGGGTGTCAGCATAAGAAGTGCAGGCCGTCTTGGTTGAGCTTTTCGATTCCATACGTGTTTAATATGTGTGGAAGTATCTCCTGTGTTTAAATCGTAATAAAGTTGAGTTTTACCAGTCGTCTGTGTCCTAAGTGTCTTGTTACTGGGACTAACAGTAGTGTTAGGCCAGGCAGGCCTCGTTAGAAGCACTAAGAAATAAATCAGTTCGGGAGGATCTTACTACTTTTGTCTTTTCAACCAGTAGACCTAACGCCATAGGTATGGTATGATTCTCGTTATCTCTGGAAATAGGGGATGTTGGCATTAATGTCATTTTTAAGGTTGTAAGAACAAAGGTGAAGATTAGTCATTTTTTCCCATTAAAGACCAGCCATTAAAGCTGCCACTGGCTATTCTGGTGCTTTCCCCACGCTCTTGATCTTAGGCTTGTCAGTTTGGGCGTAAAATGGAACATAAGTCATGGGCAGTCTTTGTAAAAAAGTATGGACACTGGTTGTCATCCCATATCCATACTGATATCCTTTGGTAAATCCCTCGTGGCCATGAAGAGACGTTAGGGCTTTTTCTGTTTAGGAACTAGTGTTTGGTGTTTATGAATACTCCATCCTACCTGTCTTAGTCGTTAACATGTCTTTTCCCGCGCTCTGGCTGTTCTGGTTGCGCTGTGGTGTGATGACCAGGTGCATTTTATAATACAGGTACTTTCCTCTGTGGCCAGTAGGTGGTGACTCAGTACTAGCAATGAGATTAATTTTTTATTTAATTGTTAGAATTTTAAAAGAATTGAATTTGAAACTCTTAGACTTTCCCCCAAGATTCTGAGTACTGGGGATCGGGTGAGTTTTTGGCTTTTGAAGTTAAACGTGAAACCAAAAATTTATGACACTTTTTGATAACCAGACCTCAGATGGGAGCTCTAGGGTATCAGTTTCCATCACCTGAGTTCCTCTAAGTTTTTTTTTTAATATTTTACTTATTTGAGAGAAAGAATGAGAGAGAGAACATAAGGGGGGGAGGGTCAGAGGGAGAAGCAGACTCCCTGCTGAGCAAGGAGCCCAATGCAGGACTCGATCCTGGGACTCCAGGATCATGACCTGAGCCGAAGGCAGTCGCTTAACCAACTGAACCACCCAAGCATCCGGAGTTCCTCTAAGTTTTTACCCACTAAATGTATTGCACAGCTACCTAAGAATCTTTCTCATCTTTCAGCTCTGTTAGCGTCTATTTGCTTTATTAACCAGCTGGGGAGAAGGAACTATCATTTCCCCCTTATAACCCTTTCCCTGGCCAGCCTAGTTCCAGACATTTTGTCCTAAATTTCCTAACCCACACCGGATAATGATGTGTTGTCGTTCTTTGAATGTATTTCAATGTAATTCAAAGGAATCTGCGGGGCCGGGACTCTGCCTTGCAGCTCGGTCTGCGGCCTCTTGTGTCTTCATCCAGTCTGTGGTCGCCCGGACCTCACCCAGAGGAATGTTGGGGCCTGTCACTTGGCGTTTCCATCCTAGGAAGCCTTGCTGCTTCAGTTCATTTCATTCATCCGGGCCTTTGAAGAAAGGCTTGTCATGCAAAGGGGATGGGGCAAAACCCACTGAATTCCTGCCAGAGATGCGCTCGCTGGGAGTCCTCCCTATTGTCCTGGGGCAGTGTTTGTCTAAAATGGCCGAGGGACACTTCTATCTCAAATAAAACCTGCCACTTGCACGGGAAACTTGTGGGGGAGAGGTCTAAGGTGGAGGAATCTGTGGCTTCAGTTTCTGCGATCTGCATTTATTTAACTGCTCCGGGGGCTTGAGGATTTCAGGGAAGTTTGGGTTTTGCTCCCCTCTAACTCAAGCTCGTGGGCTTTAGTCTCTTCTGTGAGCTAAAACTATGTACTTTTCTTCTAAGAACCTCTAAACTGAGCAGTTCTCACAGCCTTTCGATAGAGACAACTGCAACCACCTTTTCTCCTCTCCAGGAAACTGCTGCATGTGTCCAACAGCAAGCCCCCGCAGATTTATTCTTGGATCTGGGGTGGCAGTGATGATAGGAGCTGCAGCTCTAGCTAAGAAAGCCCAGGAGAAGCAGAAAGCAGCATCCTTAAGTAACATACCTAGTGGGGGCTGGTCTGGGAATTCATGGTTTTTTTAAGTTTTATTTAAATAATCTCTATACCCCTCATGGGGCTCAAACTCACAACCTCGAGATCAAGAGCTGTATGCTCTTCTGACTGAGGCAGCCAGGCGCCCCACGGTCTGGGAGTTAATTCTTTCAGACGAACAGGGAAGGAAAATGGAATGGGAAGAAAATGGCCAATACTAGCCTCTAGGCCGACCAACAGCGGGGGGTTGCTATGCTGGCCAGCAAGGTCGTGCTTCTGTTCTTTGTTTCCCCTCGCTTTCTCCTTCCTACTACCGCGCTTGTGGTCCGCGGGGCCTGCCTACCCAGTCTGCTTTCATTCCATCCCCCTCGGCGTTCTTTTTCCCCCGGGGCATGCTCCGTTCATTCTCTTACGCACAAGCCCCAGTGGCTCTGTGTTGCCTCTAGAATTAAGTCCAAAACTCAGTTTGCCATTCAAAGCACCATAATCTAAGTTCCTACCCACATTCTTTTTTTTTTAAGATTTTATTTGAGAGAGAATGAGAGAGAGCACAAGAGGGAAGAGGGTCAGAGGGAGAAGCAGACTCCCCGCTGAGCGGGAAGCCCAATGCGGGACTCGATCCCCGATCCCGGGACTCCAGGATCATGACCTGAGCT